TTCTTGTATCTGTGTGCTTCATCCCTCTACTTTGCTCTGCGAAACCAGCTGCATGTGTTTACTCTACCTGACTTACCTGCTCCGAGACAACCAGGCCGCCAGCGGAGCTGCCGTCATTTTAAATCCGCTCCCTCCGTCTGTCCCTGGCCGCGTGGGCGTACTGCCGGCGCGGCGGGTTCGCACGCACGTGAAGTCATTTGTTCCATCTCTTCCGACCTCGATCCGACCAGTTGTGCACGTTGACTTTACCTGCACAGATTTCACGGTCTACCTGTTCCGGAGGAGCGGAGGCCGCCGGCCGTGAAGCGGTCTGGAAACGTCAACGCTGTCCGAGTCGAAGCCGACTGAGTGACTGAGACAAGCTCTCATGGCCTGTTTCCCAGAGACAAGCTGTTGTTTCATCGGCCATGCTTGATCTCATTCTGGTATGATCCGGTTCAACAACCCGCCATACGCTAGCCATGTTCGACGCCACCGATTTCCGTTATGATCTGACGCCGGCTGGTATCGTAGACACCGATCCTGTACTGATACAAGCCAGTCGAATAATGTGTCTGGTAAATCTGAAAGAAGTGTTACGACAATGAAATACCACAATGACTTTTAAAATATACAATAAAAGTTCACAAACGTAATGTTTCAAATCTACAAATCTGACTCAATTCTGTCAGGAATGGGCCAAAATTCCACCAAACTACTGTGGAAAGTTTGTGGAAAGACAACTATATTTCTGAATTGAATAGTATATAACATAATCCTTTGAAAAATCTTTCTCTCAGTATTCTGGCATTGGATAACTTGAATAATTTCTGTAACTGACCTAAAACATCAGAAAGTTTATTCTGATTTATAGTCGGACATTAAAAGAAAATGTTGATGGTGTTACACAGTGCAGGTCAATGTCTGGTTTCAGGTGTGATTGCATGGCATGATAAACACTTTCTCATAGCACTTTCAGAAAATTGGAACTACTTTTGTGCTCCTGAAACACGTTAGATGTGGCAATTTGTGGCTGAAAGCCAAAGTTTCATATTTTCAATCCTTTTTTTTTTAATTAACATCCTCAAAGATGTTTCAGAAGTTTCTCTTTAAACACAAATAGTTGGAGGGGGAAAAGAAAGGGTGCTTTCATTCGTTTCAAATGGCTCTTCCATTCACCATCCCTTACTATCCAAACATTCACACAAAGACCCAAAGTCACTTGAGGTGTGCTGCCAGTCGTCTTATTGTGACCGATTTCGACATCTATCTGTACTCCTCCGAAAGAGAAATTAACCGATTCACGTGTAATATCAAGTTGGTGTCAAAAGAAATCTTTGAACATCAAAACCTTCTCCTTGCCTATTTCAAATATTGTTGTTTTTTCTTTTATTGTTTTGATTTCATGAAGAAGCTCGTGAAAGACGATACAGTTAAACATGCAGGGGGGAAAAAAAATCTTCTAAGGTCCAGCTTTCTTGTGCGAACTGTTCCAGTGCCAATATGTTTTATGTGAAGAAGGAGATGAATAAATGACACAAAACATCTGACCTACAACTATTCATCATTACCATATTATTATATCCAGTCCAACATTACCTCTTTTCTTCTTTCAAGTCTGTCTACAGATTCTCTGTCCTTGCTGTGGCTTTCTTCTTATTTTAGTCTCCACAGATCCTCAGCGCTATTGATTGCTTTATTGGCTCTCGGTTTAGAAAAGCTTTGGGTTTGAATGAATATTTTATGAACAAAAAAAAAAAAAAAAAGATTTCCTTTCACAATGGACTAAGACCATGTCAGTATTTCACATTCATTTCTTTCAAACCGTGCAGGGACGCTGTGCCATCCTTGTCAATGTAGTCGATAATGGCTGCACTTGTCCGGTTCCCCGATGTGAGCATGAAGAAACCATCACCTTTATCACGTCTAATCTGCTGCTTGGTGAGCAAGATTAAGAAGATGAAAAGAATTCCTTAATCAAGAAAGTCGTGTATATATATATATATATGTATACATATATATAAAGTAATGTTAATAAAAGACCGCTGCATGTGCAAGTCGGCCTTGCGGGTTTTTTCTGCCAATGAAGTTAGGTTTTTGATCGGGTTGAGAGTCAAACTTCTTTTTTTTTCGGCCTCCTGCAGTGTTCCCACTAATGAACAGCACTAATTGATTGAAAACGCTGACCTGCAGCAAACAGGTGAGGGAGGAAGCTTAAAATTTTAATCATCTTACAAAGCAATGTTTAATTCATGATTTGAAAACATAAAGAGTGACAAGACATGGCCGTGAACTTTGCCTGACAGGTCAGCAAGAGACAGAAGGGTATCAATCAGAAAAGAACTGCAGAGATTCACACCTCAGGTGGGAGGATCAGTCAACAGGTGAACTATTGGTCATGCACTCTGCAAACCGGATCTTGGTGGGACATTGTCCAGAAGAAAACCACTGCTGGTAAAAAGCAATAGCACATTCTGTCTTCAGAATGTGTTATTCAAGTCATCAAGGGCAATGTTTCTCCAAACCACAGTATTTTGGCCCTCTGTTCTTTATGTTCTAGATGTTTCTCTACTCCATCATATCCAGTTCAAACCCTGCACCAATTTATTTGGAAGCAAGGAAACACCTAAATCTCAACATTGAGTCCTGAAGACTACGACTGAGAGCCGCTGATGCAGAGGACACAGGAAATGTGTGAAAAACTATGTTCTTGTCAGTTTGGTCTACATGTAAAAAGCTTTGATGGGTGGAAAACTTAACAGTGCACAATGTCATGATGCAAATGTCCCTAGAGCGATACATGGTGAAGGCAGCATCACCGTGTTTAGACACTACAGCCGATGTGTCTTGTTCAGGTTTGGTTTCAGCCGTCTTTACTTTGGCCATGTCTCTGAGCTACAGCAGTTCTGGAATATTACAGAACTGGAAGAAAATGGGTTCCTGATGGTGTCACGCTTACTTCTCCTCATGTCCAGAATAGATATATCTACTATATTCTGTCCTTTGCAATTCCTTTGCATCTTGTTTTCTCAGCACGTTTCTTGCGACCCTGTTGATTATCTGTAAAACAAACACACACAAAAAATGTTCTGTGATCGCACCCCAACATTTCCACAAGACTACAGCATCCCTCTGGGAGACTTTTGAGTATTTTTGACTTTTCATAGTCAGTTGAATTTCTTTTTGGACCATTTTTCCTAAAGAAAAAAGTCTGCCACATAGACCCACCTTAACAAAGAGCGCTGGTGCCCTATGTCAAGGTGCCGATCCTCGATGGCCAGCATCCTGCATGTTTTAGCTCTTCTCTCTCTGGTTTAACGCACCTGGATCCAACGATGGCTCATCAGAAGGCCTAAGAAGAACATTGACTTGCTTAAAAGGCACTTACTACCACTAGGGAGAGAACTAAAGCATGGACCAACTTTGGACAACCCTGACATAGGGTGTTGATATCCTAAGGTCATTCCACAGATATGCATCACCTGCCATTAAAACCATTAAGAATTCAAGTTTATCTAGGTTGGAGTTATAAAATACGCCTACAAATAATGATATGGTCAAAACACTCACTTACCTAATAATTTTGCACACAGTGATATGAATTTTTCTTACCTACTAAAAGATAAGCTAAGCAAGCAATATTTTAATTCAACAAAGATCTTTTTTTTCTATAGAGATGTGTGAGAAATTGTTGATCCAAAGCTCAAATTTGTTCACGTGTATTTTGGTTAAGTGTCTTTCATTATTTTTTTTTCATTTGTTTATGTTGGTTGTTTTATTTAGATATTTGGAGGACCATCTTGGACATCGGCTCTTGGCTTCCTTATGTTTTTATCCTTGATGATGACACCTGACAGTGGTCTTAAAGTCCAAATGTTTCACTGAGTTGTGCTATAACAAAAAAGAATAATTAATTTCTTTCAAAGTTTTTTTTTTATTTTTTATTTCTGCTTTATTAAGGCTTCCAGTTTTCAAATAATCTTGAGCTTGATTTAAAAAAATAAATTATTTTCAGCAGTAAGAAAGAACAAAATTTGTTATAACTGTTCCTTTCTTGCTGTATTTAGCCAAGTTCAATACTTTACTGAAAAGCAGATTTGGGTGCACCAAAGTCTGCTTTTTTGAATAGGAGACACTGGTCAAATGTGGTCATATTTACTATGAAAATAAGCAGAATGTAAAAAGGCAGTTAACAAAACATATATATTTTGTGTTGTACATAATATTTTCTATTGCAAGAATTGTAAAGTGTTAATTTTTGCCCTAATTAAAAATAAAAAAATTCTCCACCTCCATTTTTGAAATGCGAGAAAGTCAGAATCAGTAAGGTTTAAATATCCACACTAGAGTTTACATTTGTAATGCAGTACTTCACTTTTTCTATTTTACAATTCGTTGCCGTGTTTTATTTTAACAATGTAATTATGTGGTTCTGGTAACGGTGTCGTTTATCTTGCACAATTTTCATTAATTTTATATATTATTCTTAAGTTAAAAAAAAGTCACAAAGCAGTAGCTAAAATGTTTAACATTATTGGATATGCATTTATCCAAAAGTTCTAAATATGTTTCATTAATGACAATATATTTTATTAATGACATGCCTTAGATAAGATTTTCAAAGTTCCCTTTGAGCGAATTTGTCTTGTAAATTATGATCTGAATAGGTTTTTTTTTAGATTATTGTGTAATAATTGAATAAATTCTGTTTATATAAAAGAATTATTTTAAAAAATAGCATAAAATAGAGTGGGGGGGAATAATTTTGCATCTTTTGTAAGTAGAATCGGAAAAAATTATGCAGTGCAGTGTTACAACTTCAACCATTTTCAAACTGAAGCCAAAGCTCAGTGTGACTGATGAGGATTTATGATTGTGTCAAGATTTGCGGACTATTAAAAATTGTGGAGAAAGAAAAAAATGTGGAAAACTAAAAAAAAAATAAATAAAAAAAACGCATTTCTTCAAATCTGGTTGGAAAATTTCGTCTCATTTGACATAAAAGGAACACTTCATACACATTTTTATTCTTCAAATTTAATTTATTCCAATGGGAGAGAAAAAAACATCCATTTAATAATTAGGAGTATATTACTGTCCTCTCAGACAAACAGCACGTATAAACACACATACACAACTTCTCCAGCGGAATGCGAAATATCATCTTCTTCTTCATTTACAGCTTCTTTACATTTTGTATGACTGAAAACAATAGCTACATTTTTTTTTCTCTGGCAATAAATCCTTAAGTAAACCGGAAGCTGCTCCCGTAAGAAGAACGGGTCGAAAAAAAGTGCAAATTGAAGTACGGAGTCAAGTTCGGAAAGAGGTGGAGCTGAGAAATTATTTTGCAGCTTAGCAGTGGAGATGGTTTGTTTTTAAAGTGCAAAATGGAAAATTCGAGTAAGATTCACAATACGAACAAATTTTTCAAAAGTTGGGAGTCACGCTGATTTCTTGAATACATGACTGTGGACTTTATCCAGATTATCTTTTCCTCAAGAAAAAAAAGCAAACTTCACAAATGTCTTAGTCAACCTTGGCAGGTTTTTTTCTGTTTTGTTTTTGTGGCTTGAAATAAAAAATAAATACATTTTAAAAAACGAAACATCTGTTACTGATTGCTTTTTGTTTTGCGCGCAGGTGGATTCAGCGTCTGTCTGCATGAAAACAATGTTTTTGTTTCGATTAAAAAAAAAGTGATTTGTAAAGAAAATAAAATAGAACGGCTGCTGCACTGAGCTGCTACATTTTTTAATTATTATTTGATACTTTTTTATCGTAAGAAACCTAAATGGCCTACTGAACGCATTCCAGAAACAACCGAGAGTGATAAAAAAATTAAATTATGAAAAAAACTTGGATATTTTATTTGAATATATTTTTCCCATATGTAACGGAAAATAACGATCAAGAAGTGACATTTCTTTTGCAGATATTACTTCATGCAACACCAAAGAGCAGGAGTGGGGGGAAGTTCCCATTAAATCGTCTCTGACAAAACTAAGTCATTGTTTTTGCTCGATTCCTGGTCGCTCTGGTCGTCGGTGAAGCACACGTCCACGTCGCTGTCGTTGTCGCTCTTGTGGTCGGCGTCGTCGAACGGGCCGCCCGGTTTGTCGTCCAGCTTCTTCAGAGTCTGTCCGGGGTGCCTGGACTTCACGTGCCGCTCCAGGTCCCGCCTCCGCACGAGCACCTTCCCGCAAAAGTCGCACCTGTAGGGCGTGTTGCCCTCCGCGTGCAGCCGGATGTGCTTGTTCAGGTTGCTCGGGTCTCCAAAGGGCCTGAAGCACACTTTACATTTGAGAGGCTTGTACCCCGTGTGAGTCCTCATGTGGATCTTCAGGCCGTACTTCCGGGAGTACAGCTTCCCGCAGTAGAGACACAGGTGGCCCTTCTTGGGTTTGCCTGAGCTTGTGGAGCCGGTGCTCCCGGCGGGCACCGAGTCCAGCCGAGCCCGACTCTTATCCGAGCTGATCTCCGACAGCTGCTGCGTGTGCATGGCGATCTCCCGGTCAATGTTCGTGATGGAGCCCAGGTCCTGGCTCAGCTGGGGGGCGCCAAAGTAGGGCACAGAGTCCGGGTACTTGAGGAGGTTGCTGAAGTGGAATTTGAGCGGGTAGTAGGGGGAGCTGTACAGGAGCTCCCCGTTGTAGACGGTGAAGGGCATCAGCGGGATGTTACAGTCTCCGCCGTACGTCTTCACGCCGTCGAAGTGAGGAAGTGAGAACCTTTCAAAGTGCAGACCGGGGGGGATCTGGGGGTACCGGGAGGGGGACAACCCGGTGTGTATTCGACTCTCGACATGCTTGAAAGCCGACGTTTCCTCCACGTGCGGGAGCAGTGGGAACCCCCGCATGGGATTCCCGCACGGTACCATCGGAGACGTGGAGTCCACGATGGCGGGCGCGCACTTTGGTGGGTGGCTCCCGGCCCCGTTAAGGCCTTCGCCCAGGTTGCGGATTGGCTTCATGTTCCCTATGAGTTTACTGAATCCGAGACCGCTCAGCTTGCCGCCGGCCTCCTCTCTGGACGCCTCTGCGCCCGGGACTTTAGAGACGCCCGTCGGCTTGAAAGCAGAGCGCACGCCCGGATGGAAACCCATGCTACCCAGCACTGAAGACGCGGCTCCCAGTCCGAGCAGGTGTCCCTGGTTCCTGACTGACGCGACGCTCATGTCAAGGGCCCGGTCCTGCTCCTCGGCGCTGCTTTTCTTTGACAGACCGCCTTTGTTGCTCGGGAAAGGCAAGGAGGACACCGTCCGCCGGTTAGAGTCCGAGGAGTTGCTGTGGCCGGAGGTGTTGGGGATGTCTCCGGACTTGGGCGACCTGCTGTAGGACTCGGTACCTCTGGCCTGTTCGCCGCTCACGAACCCCCGCCCGTTGCTCAGAGCACAGTGAAAGTGGACGTGGGCCTTGAGGGTGTTGGGGTATTTGAATATTCTCCAGCAGTACCAGCAGATGTAACGCTCCTCACCTGTGGAGGAAAACACCACATTGACAACAAGGTCACCGCAGACCCAACACATCCAGACATAAGCGACCTAAGATGCCCCAACAGAGGCCTGTGTGAAGGGCGCATAACTTCACACAGAGAATCTTAAGACATGACATTTGTAAATGTATTTATTCAGTATAAAATTTAAACGTTTTTCCACTTTAAAATGTCATTTTTAAATGCTTTTTAGAAACTGACAAATGTTCTGCAGGGAGAACTCCTTACACTTTGGTTGTTATGTCAACCAGTGGCAATTTTATATGTGGTCCCTATGGCTCTCCGCCTTGGGAGAAACGTTAAAGGGGGCGACAGAACAATTGTTTCACCTTTTTTCTATTGTTTCATTGATTTTCCAGTCAAAGTAAGGAAGTGTCCCAGTGTGCTCTGTACAGTGGTGATAAAAGCAGTGACTTAGGCGCTGAAACTGGTATACGATTTGACAAGCTTTAAATTAAAGAGAACATTTTTCTGTTTTAGGGTTTCCAGAGCAACTTTGTTCAAAATCTAAAACACTTAGACTGATCAAACCTGAACTGGATCATTTCACACTGAAAGCAGATTTCTTAGAACAACAACAAAGACTGATTTTATTCCATGCACACCGTGACTGCAAAACATTAAAACAACTGAATAAATGATACATTTATTTAATTAGTGAGCACAGCTCAGTAAACTTGACCACTCTTCACCTAATCTACAGAGTTCGTATTGACTCAGACATGACAATCACATCAAAAGAGTAAATAAGAGAAATCTGAAAATTTGTTATTTAATAAAACACATGAAGTTATTAATATTAAGGCTGAAGAAAATTATGTGAATTTACTTATTTGTTTTTGTTTTTTTAGTTGAGGTTTCTCTTGTCTGTTTATGTGTTAAATGCAATTTAAATGACATTAGCATTAGGGTTGGTGGCTTCTGCTTTGGGCCCCCACATTTTTTCGGACTGGCTTTGCTGCGTAATTCAACTTTAAAATAAAAATAAATGTCATATAACTGTTTTGTTTACCTGTGAAACATTACAGCTCTTCAGAAGTATTATCAATAAATCACTACATCATCAGAGTGACTAAAAATAAATTTAAAAAATAAAGATCTCCACCCCCGCGTTGCACACCACGGGTAACGAAATCCGTTCCTAAGATCTGGTGCCAAATGGTAATAGACTCCGGGAGCCATTCTAATGGCCCCCAGTCGGGCACTCAAAAGATAATATAGATGTAATGATTTTGTAATCCTCATACGGGCCATTGTTTATGATCACCATCAAAAGGGCAAACGCCCTGCCCAATCTGGCGCTCCGGAGCTGGGACCCATTGAACGCGAGCCCTCTCCCTCTCTGCGCGCTTTCCCGTGGAAGTGACAGCAGCTGTTGCTTGAAATCGCAAGTCTCCAGAAACAATGGCGCAGGCCCATCTGTTGACGCCTCAATAATGGGGGACGGGGGGGGGAGCGCGTATGTCCAGGAGCGCACACACGGTGCGCGCTGCGCCAGAGAATCCGGGCAATATACACCCGACATAAAAGTTCGCATTCATTAGGCCACAATACCTTAACGCAGCCACCTAATTCAGCGTGAAGCACTTGTTTTTGAATTATTTGCTTTTGAATACATGAATATTAACGACGGGGTGACATTCGTTAACCTCCGATGAGCGACTGAATCGCTTCTTCCTCGACGCTCACCGAGGCGTGTCGGTTTCTGCGTTTAATTGCTTTTTATTTTTATTATTCAAGCACCGTAATTACATCGCCACAATTTTTTGCCTTTTTCTTTTTTTTAATATACTGACTCTGATATCATATCAGGTTTATGAGGACTTCCCAGTTCGGAACAATACATGTCATTGTCTGATGAAGGAATTTCCATGGAAGTATCTGTTGATAATCTGCTCTGTAATAGGATTAGGCTCTGATGAGGCGCTAATCCCCCAAGCGCAACAAACATCGGATTATTAATATTAACAGGCCGAACAAGAGGATTAACCACAAGAGCATTTGCTGATTCTCAAATCCCCGTTTGTTATTATTATTATTATTATTATTATTATATTATTTGTAATTGTTTTTACCGTATTTATCTGTGGAACAACAAAATATCCCCTCTATTTGGACGGGATTTTATTTTCATTCTCTGCGCGAAATTTCTTTTATTTTTCGATTAGAAACTTTTTTTTATTTTTATTTTTTTTTATTTTGCTTAATCAAAACTAAACTGCAGCGGAAGTCGATCATTTACGCTCTCATTAATATCAACAAATAAGTGGGAAATAAAAAATGACCTGATGAATAAATGACAGGAAGCAATTCATTACCTCCTATTGGCAATACAGCGACAAAATTCGATCACCGACTAATTGCGCAATGACGCGTAATAATAAAAAATATATTATTTCTTGTTGTTGCGTAAAAACACATATGCATGCAAAATTAACATAATTATTTTTGCACATAGCGATCTCGCTCACCTTTTTCGTCGTGCGTGGGAGTGGCCGTGGTGGGGATGTCGTACCACTGGGCGAGAGGGTTGGAGTACCACACACTCAGCTCCTCTCCCGCTGGGATTTCTCTCAGAACTCGGTAAAAAATCTAAATGAAAACAATAAAAATAATATTGATTTTTTTTCTCTGTATATTTTTTATGTGACTTTATTCTAGCTTAAAATCCACAGAATAAAGTGGGACGTCGTGGCATTAAAAATTCACCTGTTCGCCAGGTAAGTCCGACACTGCCTCCAGGTTTTGCTCCTGGCTATTCCTGGCGGCACGGATGAATCCGATCCAATCGGGCACAGGACAGCCCGACTCGTCCACGAACTCTCCGCGGACCAAACGGATCTGAGCCAGGAGAGGGAGAAGCAAGTTGGGCAAATCCGAAAACACTAAAAAAAAAAAGAAGAAGAAGGCCGAAACGAGCTCGCACTCGCACATAACCTAACGACAACTTGATTTGTTTCGATTTTCTTCGCCTTTCCTCTTCAAGATCACCTTTTCATTTAGAATTTTATCTAACACGTCTTTTTTATTTTCTTCCCCCCCAAATATCGCGACTTTGCAGCCGGACGTGGAGGTGGAGGTGTTGCCGCCGCTGTTGGGAGCAAAGCGCACTTAACGCGTCTTTTATCCGCTCTGCTGATAATTTCCTAAAGAGAGCGGCGGACGGGCCTAATTGACTTGATATGGGAAACGAATTTGAAGAGTGTCAGAGCGTTTCTAAACTGTTCTAGGAGATTAGGGATCGAGGTGTGACATTTGACACAGACATTGCACCTGATGATCCCCCTCCTCGCCGCGCCCCCCGGGGCCACGCATTTAGACGCATCAATCACAGCCGCTGACAGCTTTCTGCGATTAAAAAAAAGAAAACAAGAGAAACAAACACTCCTTTTGATTTGCAAAATAAAGGCGAGATTTTTTTTTAATGAAAAACTTTTTTTTTTTTTTTACAGAAAATAGTTTCTTGTAATTTTTTTTAACTATCAAATATTTTTAACATTTCAATTTTTAAAAAGATTCAATATTTCTAACGCGATGCATGTGGACGCAGCTGAATAACCCATAGCAGTTTGTTTTTTCTTTTCTAGCATTTTTCCGCTTAATCTTTCGCCGCCTGCAGGCGGAGGCCCGACCAGGACACGCTGGCATCTTTCTGTGGCCGGATCCCATTAACAGTAAACGGCTCATCGGAATAACAGGCCCGGCAGGCTGGGAAACGTGAGGGCGCACACCCGGGGCTGCCCATTAGGCCGGTTAAGCTGACAAGTCGGCCACTAATGGAGCTCAATTATTTCTAACCTGACAGGCCAAACCAATTAATAAATCGCGGCTCAATGAAGTTTGACAAATCAGTTACAAAGAAAAAGAAAAGAAAAAAAAGGATAAATTTTATTTTTCATCTGTTATTTTGAACAGATGAAAATATAAACTGAAATGTCCAATATTTAATTTTTAATATAGCAGCTATATAAATAATACTGCATAATATCTTTAAATACACACACACATTATATATA